GGCTTTAAACTGTGGCACACAGGGTTGCTGTGAGTCAGGCTGGACTTGAGGAACCGTACTTTTACATCTAGAAATTTTTCAAAGCTTCGGTCATGGATGACTTAAGTGAGGGTTGTGACTGTCACGACAGACATAAAAATGCATTTGATCTACCTATTAATCTTTCTTGCCATAGTTTTCTTACCTTTCCAATTCAAAAGAAGCATAGGTTGCACATTCATTGACAACTTTTTGCAAGTTAATCTTTCTAATTTAAAAATAAATGTATTTATTGTATACATTGAAGGAAAAAGAGACAGTAAAATCTTTATGTTTAATTAGAATTAAATGGAAGCCTTAATCTACAGTGCTTCTGTGACTATATCAATAAATGAATTTTAGAAAAGCTTGATATTCTACAAATGAAAGTTTAGCATGAAATAATTTTATGATAACAAAAGTAGGTCTGTTACTGGTTTCTAAAATGACTATCTGACTTTAAATGACTCAGCAGTAAAAATATTATTATTCTCCTCTATAGAACTTCTTAAAACTGTTCCTTTTGCCAAATTTCATTTCATCCTGAACTATTGAAAACCTCTAAGCATATAAAAGCTTTTATCACAGATCTAAAAATAAGAATCCAAAAGGAAACAGGATTTAATGCTAAATTCACATTTTAATATAACAAAAAACATGATTCATGACAAAATTTTCTAAGATAAAATGAAGTAAGCCTTTAAGAAAAGAAAATTCCACTTTAGAAATGCTTAAACATGTATTCATTTCCTTATTGAAGTAAAATTCCTGGCAGCAATCCAAATATACACAAATAACTGTACTTTCAAGATTTAAATAACAACCCAAAATTCCAGGAGTTTGTCCCTTATACAGATCAGCTACTATTGTAAAATATTTTTTATTACAAATGACTAGTTAAGAAATATATCCATTTATTATCATTTACCTGTGATAACAAACATGTGCTTTGATATTTTTGTTTACTCTTACAAAAACTGAGTTTTGTGATGAAGTTTAATTGGACTATGGTTGTGAAAAGAAATTTTAATTCAGCAGTTCTTTAAACTGAAAAGTCAGGCAAAGGAAAACTTTCTTTGATATATAAATAGTCTTGTGTAAACACAAAGATCAAGAAAAAAATCATTTAAATATCATTTTCAGCAACAAAAATTCATCAGCTTAAACAGTTATTTTATTTTGCTTCATGCTTCCATTTACTATGACTGGCATACACAGAACAATGGATTTAGATGCATCTAAACATTCCCTCACACACTTTTCAAGAAGTCACAAGCACTAAATCTCTCTAGGAGAAAAAATAAATAGAGTAGTTAAGACTCCTGAAGGTCATGACTTTCAAGTGTTAAGTCACTTTTTGCTTTACTGTGATGTTCATGGTTTATCAGAATTTGCCAGTTGAAAGGAGGAGAAGCTAACACTGGCGGATTCAACACAATCACACTTGGCAGCAAATTAGGCACAAAGACAAGTAGATCTTCCCCTCAGTGTGCATTAACCATGCATTAGGAGACAACAAAGGCTTCCACAAAACAAACTTTTTAACATGAAACAGATAGTATCTTAATGGAGAGATTTTCTACTGGGGTGTTCCTTGAAGTCTGCCAAAATATGCCTGCATAGGAATTGGGTAAATGTGCTAATAAAACAAATAAATGTATTCCTGGGACTCTCTGGGGTCCCAGGAATCTGTGTGGCTGACATGCTCCCCTGGGGATACTTACATACACTGAAGCTCGCAGATCACATCTGTAGACCATTTGGAATTCTCCCCACCCTTTCTTTTGGCCATGCTCTTGTTCATGCTCTTTACTTATTAGTGGGGAGGAAAAATCAATTCCTACTTACATCAGTCAGCAGTGCTGGCAGTAGTGGCATTTCCCCCCCTCAAGAAAATATGGGGAATAGGCAACATACAACAATTCTGCACCTGAACTTGTCAAAGATGCATCATAGTACTTTTATTTAAAGCTTTCAAATGTACACATAATAAAAAAAATGTTCAAAATGCTTTGTAAACTATGATCTGATAAGGTTTATCCAGTGTAATGAAAACAGCTGTTCGGTGTTGCGGCCACACTTGCAAAGGTCCCTCACTGTCTTCAGTCACAACCACCAAGCACCTCAGCAGGTAGTCTAGAGCAATGCCAAAGGATGTGCAGCCTACCAGGCAGCACAAAAGTACCTCAGGATTGCTCAAAAAAAAAGGAACACAGCTCATTATCAACTTCAGCTTCACAAGGACCCACTAACAATGTGTAATAGACACAGCTCGTGGCAACTTGCCTGAGAAAAAGTCTAATTTAATATATATGTATTCATTACCTGCCCAAAGTCTACCTTACATTGATAAGGAAAGCATGAGACATTTCAGCATGCCGCCAGTATTCACTACAGAGATAAAGTTCTATATGATCCCTATCAACAATAATTTTACCTGTGAGTAACGTAAGTTAGAAATTAAAGAGGTAGATGATTATCATCTGAAGATGATTTCAAAACATGTTGACAGACACGCTCAAGTCCCAAAGGAGTCCTTTATCTGGACAGTGAGTTAGAGTTACAATTGCAGTTTCCTTTGCCTTTCATGATGCCAACCTTCCAAAGTCCTAACTCCTGACATCCTTCAATTAAGAGAAACAGCTAGTGAAGTAAAATTTTTTAAAAAAGTAATACTGAAGAGTAAAGAATGGTGTTGCAGTCAGCCAGGCTTATCAACGATCCAAACTCTTTTTTCTATGAAGAAAAACACATTAAATTGGACAGGACTTTGGGGAATTCACTTAATCCAACCTTCTGATTGTACAACTAAAAACAAAGGAGGCTCATTTTTCCAATGACTCACAAAGGAGCAGCTGTAAGTCTGAAAGCATTTTTCTTAGTGAACTCACCTATTTATTAGCCCAGGATGGAGCCATGAGGCTCTATTTTCCAGCCGTGAAGACCCTAGTCTGTAGTCCCATCCCCATAAGCTGTTTGAGAAAGTGTGCCAGTGGTTACAGTGAGAAGCTCTATAGAGGGCAGATCATCAGCAAATGAAAAGTAATCTGAAATCTGCCCTGCTTTATTAATAAGAAGCTCTGGTTGCCTAATGGTAAGGTGTTGGCTGCCAACCTAAAGACAAAGGGTTCAAATTCAACAGTTTCTTTGCAGGAGAAAGTTAGGCACTCTCCTCTTGTGTGATTTACAGACTCTGAAAATCCATGGAAGGGTCAGCTATAAATAAATCCATTTCAACTCCACAGCACATAACAAGAGCTTTAGATTTGGACCACAGCTTAACTTCTCATCTTGGTAAGAGACATATCTCTGGGCCTGTTCCCAAGGGAATCCACTGGAAAAATGCTATTCTGTCAGCACATTTGGGAATGGCACAATCAGAAAATACACAGGTTTATGTGCCAGCCAAGACTGACCATAGGTTTTAATGTTGCAATAACTGTCAGTCACTTGCTCTGCAAATCAAAAAGCCACCCTATCTCTTTATGGCCTTATTTAGCCAAGATTTTAAAGCTCCACAGTTGGTGACTTTCAAATTAAAACTGTGATTTTGTTTTTCTTTTTACCACTTTGTAGACTTTCTGTATGCTTTCATAGTTCCTTGGATAATTGAAAAAAAGAGGTTTTGTTCTAATTAGAATAAACTAAGAAACCCTCAGACATCCCCCTTGACTGTGAAACAACTAAACCCTGACCAGGCATCCATGTGGCACAGTGCAGCAGCAATCCACAGAATCTGAGAGATTTGGGGATCCCAGATTTACCACTACCCTTGGGCATGATTTTAAACCAGACGCCTAGCTTTCTTCATATGAAAAACAGTAAAAAAGCAATACCTACCTCACAGGATGTTGTGAGGATGTAAAAATGCACAGTGCCTGGCACATAGATAGATGCCAATAAAATGGTGGTCCCTTTTCCCACTACACCCGGTGAGCATTCTGGAGTGAAAGGGATCACAGCCTGCACCAGGGCCCCACACTGCACATCCCTTTTAGATTTGCAAGAGAGCTCTGTTGTTTCGATTTTGTCCTATTGCTCTAAAGAGTCACTATTGTGCTTAGAAAAATCTCTACATCTTTAAGCTCTCTCTCTTGAAATTGTACATGCAAACAAAATATTTTCAAAAAGAACTATTTTTCTAGACATGACAATGCACGTGTTTCCCAAAGCACGTGTTATGTATATAAACAATTCTCAAAAATATGAGTGAATTATTTTGTACATTGTTTCATAAAGTGCACCAAAGGAAATATTAATGACCTCTGAAATATCACTAACCCCCTTGAGTCATTTTGTTCTTTTAAAACAAAACTAAATCTTTATCTATTGAGATGTAATGGGGCTTTGGCTCCAACGTGGTAGCAAAAAGCAGCAGTGTCTTCCAGAAAGAAAAAGAATAGATAAATTCAACTAACCATACTTTAGCAGCATATAAAACACCTACAATTTAAAGCAAATTCAGGCTCAATAAAGCATAATCCTGGTTCCCACTATAAAAACAAACTCAATCAATCAAACAAAACCCATCTGTCCACACTACATCAAGGATTTCTCTTGAATTCTGGAGGTAACCTTTGTGATCACTTTCCTATTGAGTATCCTTGATAACAAGACTCCCAGGGTGGTGCAAATGGTTAAGCGCCTGTTAGCCAACAGGTTGGCAGTTCAGAGCCACCCAGAGGCACCTTGGAAGACAAGGCCTGGAGCTGTTTCCGAAAGGTCACAGGCATAGAAAGCCTATGAGACAGTTCTACTCTGAAACACATGGGTTTGCCATGAGTTAGAATCCATTCAATAAACATCACCACCTTTGGTAACAGAATTAGAACTATCATTCTTTTTCAATCTGCACAGATACAGAGAAATCCCTTTTTTAAAAAAAAAAAATGATGTGTTAGTGAGGAAGTCATGTGAATTCAACAAAAATCAAAGTCAGGTAACTAACAACCATCACCCAAAATGTCCAACTTCTCCAATATTCACACCACTGTTCGGTGCTCTGCACACACATAGACGGCGCTGGGGCGAATCCGTCGCCGCGTGTGACCAGGAAGACGAGGCAAGAACTTGAAAGACTTAGGCATCATGTCCAGGCAGGCATCATGGAATTTCTTAATCCTCCAGTAGTAAATCAGTGGATTCAACGCAGACTTGAGGTAGCAGAGCCAGAGTAACCAGGTGCTTATCTCAAAAAAGTTGTGCTTGTAGTAAAAATGCTCATTAAACGTTGCCACGAGGCTGTATGTGGTGAACGGGGCCCAGCAGACAATGAAGACAGCAAAGAGAATCAAAATAGTGGTGAAGGCACGTGTTTTAAAGCCCATGTCAATGCTCACTTGGAAGGGCCTCTGCAGACTCATGAGACCCAGTTTGCTGGCCTGGCTGAGGCAAATACCCTCAGGGTAGCTGTGGATCCTCAGAGCATTGTGCCGAAGGGTGTTGAGAATGCCCATAAAGGAATACAGTATGACCAGGAATGGTATGAAGAAAGAAATGAGAGAAATCAAAATCACATAAGCTTGGTATCCGGGACTGGTTGTGTATCCAAACACACACTGTGGGGCTCGGGAAGGTATCTGGAGGTCAGGGTTTCCTGCAGCCAGAGGGAAAGCTATACAAAAGGAAGCTGCCCAAGAAACCGCAATCAGAACCTTAGCCCTATAGGGATTCAGCTTATCCTGCCTCTGAACTATAATAAGGAACCTGTCAATGCTGATAATGAGCAGGATGGCTACTCCCTCTATCACGAACAGCCAGAAGAACATAGCAGACAACCGGCAGAAGAATCTCCCAAAAATCCATCTGGTAGTAAGAATGGTTACCAGGGCAAAGGGCATGTTCAGCACAGCAAGTGACATGTCTGCAAAAGCCAAGCTGGCCAGGAGGATGTTAATTGCAGATCGCATGGCAGCTTTTTGGTAAACCATGAGGCAAACCACCAAGTTCCCAAGAAAAGACACAACCAGAATAAATATCATGACAGCAGAAAAGAAGATCTGGAGAGGCAAGTTTAGGCTCTTGAAATCTGCTGGTGTTGAGGGCACAAGTGTACTATTTACTGTCCAGGAGCCCGTCGCAGTAGGAACCATGGTTTCCAGACTGTTCCTCAGCCCAATGCTAGGAGGCTGGAAAGGAGGAGGTGCTGTAAAATTCATGTAGGTATTTTCATAGACTACAAACGTCGTGTTGGACGGTCCGGTATGGGATGCTCTCAACACTGCCGAGAAGACCATGGTTCCAGTGAAATGGGAGGCACGTGCAGAGAGGTGGGTCGTCTTCCACCATGTCAACATAGAGTGGCTATGTCTTGTTCCATTGACGGGCCTGGAAGCACGCTCTGGAAAACGGAGGGTTCCATCATCTCAGGAGTCTCTCAGCCTGAAAACGAGCCCAAAATACAAAACAAGCAAGTGAGAAAAAGTAGGGTGTTGTGTTTTTTTTTTTAAATAATATATTTTTTTTTCAGTGCTGAGAATCAGTTTTGCTCTTTTCAACCCTTAAAAAATATTTAAGTGTCTAGCACAGTCAACGCTAAATTGTAGTGTTGTTTTGCTTCTTTTAGTTAGTTACAATGGAAGTATGGACACTGAACTGCAAATTGAAAACAAAAAGAGTTTTGAAATGTATTGCTATATCAAAAGTAAAAGTCAGAGGTGATTGTTCTTTCCCCCCCAGTAATATCATGGTCTTTTTATAGTCACCATTAAAATAGATTTTATCTACTTTTCCTGTGCATAACAATTTTTTCCAAAATAACTTTTTTATTCAGATTTTTTATGCCATTTTTACAAGAATGCAAAACTGATTCAAAAAGAACCCTGAACCCACAGTTTTCTAGTTAACAAATGTTTTTGCTGTTGTTGTTGTTGTTACTGGGCATCATCGAGTCAAGTACGACTCATAGTGACCTTATGAATAAAAGATCTGAACCCTGTTCTAGCCTGTGCCATCCTCACACTTCTGGATACACAAGAGCCCATAATGCAGCAGTCATTGTGTCAACCATCAAGTCAGAACCAACTCAGAGCGGCCCCTCCAGTGGGTTTTCAGAGACAGTAAATTGCAGGGGATGATGCTGTTCACCTTTCTTCCCCGGAGCAGCTAGGAGATTCGAACCACATCCCTTTGTGTTGGCAGTACAATTCCTTACATCCTGAGGCTATTCTAAGCAGACATTTTCCATGAAATTCAGAAACCATTTTCTACCTTTCATTTTATGGGAGCATAGGATTTCCTCCTAGAAATCCCATCACCAAACAAACTAGAAAAACTACTCAAGAGGGAAACAAAAATTGTATGAATCAGTCATTTTGTTCCAAAGTCCTCTTTGCTTTGGATATTCTCTTGTCACTTCTGATTTTCCTTTGTTGCTATAAGACATCTATCTTCTCTTCCTTCTTTCCCTGAAATCTACCTTATTTTGTGTTAACAACTTGATAGATGTTAACACACAATAAATAATACACAGAGTAAAAGTGTCTGCTAGAAAAATAATCAGTTGTGGGAAATCTAACTCGGAAAACTTACAGAGATATTTCATTATCTTGCTCAAAAAATATTCCTATTACCTTTTTCTGACCCATACTCTCACAGTTGTGCCTACCCATTTCTCCAATCTTTCTTAAAGAGATTTTCCAAAAAAGCGTTTCTTAATCTACTATCTTCCTAACACATTTTTGTGGTGCGAGTTCTACCTTCTGATGGTCTTTATGGAGATGGAGCTTCTTTAACCAGAACTCTTAATTCTTTTAAAAAACTAGAGATTGAGGAAAAATAAATATGCAAAAGCTTAAAACAACATCACAAATTGCTCACTTTTTAGACCTAGTGTTATTATGTACCACTGACTCAGAACCAAGCCATGACTGACCCTCCAGCAGGCTTTCAGAGGCAGTTAATCACATGGAGGATACTGCCCATCCTTCCCCCTCAGAGCAGCTGGTGGAATGGAAGTGTGCCTTTGGACTGCAGTGCAGCTTCTTACCATGAGGCCACCAGAGCACAGGCTAAATAATAACTTTGGTTTTAGAGGCAATAGCAAAAATTTCCTTTATCCATTCCTTGGGTATAGGTAGAGAGTTGGGGATATCCCATTAACTATTAAATGTCATCAAATTATAAGTTCTATTTCACACTCTTAACTGCATATAAATCCTCTCTTTTGCTTAAGGGCTGCCTTTATGACTAAAGAGCATATCCATCTCTTTTGGCATAGTATATAACGTGTTGTGCTACTAACTGAAAGGTCCATAGTTTGAATCTACCAGTTGTTCTTCAGGAGAAAGATACTCAGTCTTCTCCAGTAACAATTTACAACCTTGGAAACCCAACTGATTGTTGCTGTAAATTGGACTCAACAAGATGGTAATGACTGGATTGTTCAAGTTACCAATTTGCTTCAGAGAGCTGGACGATGACCAAGGATGAAAGAAGAATTGATGCCTTTGAGTTGTAGTGCTGGAAAAGTTTGGAATGTACTGTGGACTGCCAAGAGAACTAACAGATCTGTCCTGTAGAGGGTGAAACCAAGCTGTTGCTTGAAGGCAAGGATTTTGAGACTCTACCTCACATACTTTGGGGATTTAGGCAGGAGGGACTCAGCCTCAGGAGAAAGATATCATGCTCAGAAGGGTCAAGAGACAGGGAAGGAGAGGAAGACCCCAGATGAGACAAACTGACACAATAACTAGAGTAATGAGGGTAGGTGTGTCTGAGACAGTGAGATTGGATCAGGATAGAGCAGGGTTCAGAGCTGTTGTGCATGGAGTCACTGTAAGCCACAAGTGACTCAAGGACACAGAAAGTTGGCAGTTAGGGATTTCTCCGATTTACTGAGGAGTAATGATGTCACTTTGAGGACTAAGGTCCGTCTGACTTAGGCCATGGCCTTTCTTATCACTTGCTATGCAACTGAGAGCTAGACAATGAATAAAAATAACAGAAAAATAATTGATGCCTTTAAGCCGTGGTGCTGGTGAAGAGTACTGAATGTCACATGGACTGCCAAAAGAACAAATAAATATGTCTTGGAGAGGGTACAACCAGAGTGCTCTTTGGGGGCAAAGATGATGAGGCTTTGTTTCATATATTTTGGGCATGTTGCTAGGAGGAGCTACTCCTTGGAGAAGGATATGATGCTAAGAAAGGTAGAGGGTCAGTGAAGGAGAGGAAGACCCGCAACCAGGTGCACGGACACAGTGACTGCTACAATGGTTCTAATGGTTCAGGAAGTGTGAGGATGGCACAGGATAGGGCAGAACTCAGATCTGTTGTTCATGGGTTGCTATAGTTTGTACTCAATGCAATGGCACTTAACAACAACAACAACAACAACAACAACAAGGCATTTGCCTGAATTATTACAAATTACGACCATAATTGAGAAGAATCTAAGAACACTTAATTATGCTCATGTGAACCCCAACCCTAGACCAAGAAGCAGCTGTCTAAACACAACAAGGGAACACTGCATGATTTAAAATAAGGAAAGTGTACATCCGAGTTGTATTCCTTCTTCCTGGTCTTTCTTTAATTTGAGCTAATCATTTGAGAAACTGGACTATGTGAAGAGGAATGTGGCATTAAGATTAGAGGAAGACTCAATAACAATCTGTTTTATGAAGATGACACAACCTTGAATGAAGAAAATGAAGATTTGAAGCATATCTTCTTTTGCTTAACCCTTTTGTAAATTCTAAATATCAGGCATATTGTTCTTTGATATTTGATATACTCACTCTCATTGTTGTTAGACTGGAACTGAATCATAGCTGACCTCTGCTGGATTTCTAAGGCTGTAAATTGCACAGGACATCTTTCTACCTAGCAGCTTTATCTTTAGTGAGGTATGGCCTTTGGGTTGGTAGCACAACCCCCTTACAGATTATGGAACCAGAGATCCCCACTGTTGTTGTTGTTAGGTGCCATGGAGTGGACCACAACTCATAATGCCCTTATGAATACCTGATCTGAACTTCATCCTGTCCTGAGCCATCCTCATTATCTCTGATATTCTCAAGCACATCGAGTCTTTGTGTCTTTTCATGTTGTTGACAGTCTTCCTCTCTTACTCCGAACCTCCAACTTTTCTTATCATGGTATCTGTCTTCAAGGTTCATTCCCAAAGTACATGAGACAAAGTTTCACCATCTTGCTTCTAGCAAGCATCCTGGTTGCACCTCCTTATTTGGATTTTGAGCAGTCCATGGGATATTCAATACTTTTCTCCACCACCATACTTCTATCATCTTTATTCATTGCCCAACTTTCACATGCATGTTGTTGTTCTGTACTATGGAGTCAAAGCTGACCCATGGCCAACACTCCAGTGGGTTTTCAGAGGCAGTTAATCACAAAGGAAAAGACTGCTCATTCTTTATCCACAAGCAGCTAGTGGCCTCGAACTGCATGCCTTTGGGATTTCAGCACAGATTCTTGCCACTAGGTCACCAAAGCTTCACATGCATTGTTGTTGTTATGTGCCTTTGAGTAGCGACACAACGAACCTATATACAACAGCCCTGAACCTTGCTCTATCTTGAGCCAAATTAATTGTCTCTGACACACCTACCACCATTACCCCAGTCACAGAATCAATCCATCTCATCAAGAGTCTTCCTCTTTTGCACTATCCCTCCATTCTCCCAAGCATGATGTCTCTCTCCAAGGACTGGTCCCTCCTTGCAACATGTCCAAATTATGTCTGACGAATCTTCAAAATCCTTGCCTCGAAGGAGCAACCTCATTTTACCCTCTTCAGGACAAATCTGTTTGTTCTCTTAGGAGTGCATGGTATATTTAGTACTTTTCTCCAGCAACACAACTCAAAGGCATCAATTCTTCTTCCACTGCATATAAAGTATTTAAAAGTAATTCAAGAGATCATAATTTAACTGATCATAGTCTAGTGGGAGGATCAAGGTTAGGACTAGTATGTATATCATCAGCCTAAGGTAATGGTCTACTGTGCTGCCACTCTGGTGGCCTAGTAGTGAGAAACTGTGGGGCAATTCCGAAGGCATATGGTTCAAATCCACCAGTCTCTCTGCAGGAGAATGATGGGCAGTCTCCTCCTATGCAATTTATTACTCCAAAAACCAACAGGAGGGCCAACTATGAGTAGGTTGAACTCGACAGCACACAACAATAATCAAGAAACTGGAAATAGAAATGATATGCTTAATAAGCCTATTATTTAAAATTCAAAGAAATTTAAGGTCACAGCAGTATTTGATGATTAATTTTTAAGAGGAAGGAATCGTTTGACTCCATTAACTCTGAGAATTAAAAAACATAGCTTTGGTTATTACATTTTTCAATAAGAAATAGAAGAAGGTCAG